CTTGTTTGTCTTGAAGTAAGCTGATCTTCGCATGTTCTCGTTGAGCTTTGCAGAATAGAGAATCTTGTTTTGGGCCATCTCTGTTTCTCTTGCAACAGCTTCAGTTTGAGTTGGAGCGTTCAATCTTGGAGCAATCACATTGAAGTTGATTGACTTCCCATTCCAAATAGATTTCACCATGTCTTCCAAGCACTTCAATCCGGAAGCTTGGATACGTGTGACTCCTCATAAAGTCAAGAGCAATTCAAGTTCAACAGTTGTGAAACATCCATTTTCAACAAAAGATGAAAATGATGGAAAGGCAAGATGCCACAGAGACAAAAGTGAGTTGAACAATTTTCCCTTGGAAAATCCCTTGTTTACAGAACTCAATTTGACTTCTATGATGATTCTGTGTTGAATGCAGTACTTTGAGACATCTTGTATTATTCCCTACTGCATCGTACACAACATCAATATCCCCCTTGCATACGGTCATCCCCTTTTTGTGTGGATATAGATTGTCCGACAGACTTGCGTCCAGCAAACTTGCGTTGAATTTTTTAAGATTCCTACATCGCGGGACAAAATAAAATGAAAAGGGGGAATTCCCACTGCGTCATTGGAGAACGTCATCCCCCTGACATTTTCTGAGTACATCTGAGTTATAACTCACATGTTTAAGTTATAACTTAACGCCATGAGTGATAACTCAGGATTCCGTTGTGATTTGAGTTATAACTCAGAAAAAGTCACAACGACCAATTGGTCATCCGTGCCCATAAGTCCCTCTTTGATAAATCATCACATAATTAATATGTCATTAATACTTAAAGTGAGAAATAACATAGATTTTCCAAAGCTAAAAATATAATTTTATATCTCCGAGCATGTCAAAATTTGTGATCAGTGTCCCAAAAATACTCGGTCTGAACATTTGCCGGGTGTTCCTGTGGCTGAGGGAAAAATACTTCCCTCACCTGCGGGTGCTGAGGGAAAGTGAGGGAAAGTAAGGGAAAGTAATAGAATCCTCATGGGGAGAGAAGGTCATTTGGATAGATCCTTAGCCAATCAAATAACCAAAAAAGTTTTTGGAAAATTCAAATGTTAAGTATCATTTACTTGATGCGGCCCGCAAGGACATAAAACGAGTCGTCCAAATGACTCAAATAGTCTGTCCGTTACTCAAAACAATGGAAAATCCTTGATCTGCCGGGTGTTCCTGCATATGGGTTCAAATCCCCATATTGTACCCAAAAGCTGCAAATTTGCATTGTGGCTAATCAAATGAAGGCTATCTTGCTATTGCACACGCATGCAATTGTTTTGTGTCCGCAATTGAACGGGGTCGGCCTTCACAGAAGCCTGCCAATGAAACGATGGCAACACTCTTTCAAGAATACGATTTGATCTACATTACTATCAACACTCTTGTAATAATATATTGATTATATTTATGGTTTATCAGATACAGCAATATTAATAACTGTTAAAAGTTAATGTATTGAAATGTATCAAAATGTATGGAAATGTATTGAAATGTATTGAAATGCAATGAAATGCAATGAGACAGTGGGAATTCCCCCTTTTCATTTTAATTCATCCCTGCGATATTTAACGCGATTTCCTGCAACTAGTTGTGGGAACAGATTTTTTCCAAAAATGCCCACAAATAGTTGTAGGAATCTTAAAAAATAGTTGTGGGAAATTCCTACAACTAGTTGCGTTGCTTAGCTGTACAAAAACAATTAGAGTTTCATATGTAGTTGTATAATTTTTAGTCAGTACATGTCGTTGTTTTGTGCGTAGAACGGACAGTTTTTCAGAGAATGGATAGTTTTCCCATAATTCCAAAAAAAAAATTAGAGTTGTGGGAAACTTCCCACAACTACAATTAGAGATGTGGGAAACTTCAAACAATGGCAGGAGTGTGTTGGGATATGACATAAAATATGAGTTTTACATTCCAAAAAGAAACTATGCAAGTACAAAGGTTTTGACACGTACGATCGGACTTTGATCGTGATGTCCGAATTTGACGCAAGTATGCCAGACGCAAGTCTGTTGGACAATCTACATCCACAGAAAAAGGGAATGACCCTATACAAGTGAGATATCGGTGTTGTGTACAATGCAGTAGGGAATAAGACAAGATGTCTCAAAGTACTGCATTCAACACAGAATTGTCGTAGAGGTCAAATCAAGTTCTGTAAACAAGGGATTTTCCAAGGGAAAATCGTTGAACTCACTTTTGTGATTGAATCATCAATTCAAGCCAAATATTAATCAAATAGGAACAATTTCACTCAAAGTATACCTAGACACAGGAGAACTATTGCCGTGAAAGTGTTGTACAGTCAATTACGAATGTAGATTGCAGAGAGTTTGTTCTGAGCGCTAAAGCCACTCATGATAGAGCACATTTTGCTTTATTCTAACATTCAATCACAAAAGGCAACAAAACGAAAATACGTCAAGAACAGCACTGCCTTATCTACAAAGGAGTGAGTGATTGGTTGACGATCGGACGTTCTTCATCCGGTGCTGGAAGAGGACGTGTGACTCCTCAGAAAGTCAAGAGCAATTCAAGTTCAACAGTTGTGAAACATCTTTTTTCAACAAAAGATGAAAACGATGGAAAGGCAAGATCGTCGTACGAAGACGCCGAAGAAAGAGTGATTGACTGCATCCAAGCTTCTGGAATGAAGACATGGCGAAATCAATTCGAGATGGAAAGTCGATCAACTTCAATGTGATTGCTCCAAGATTGAACGCTCCAACTCAAACTGAAGCTGTTGCAAGAGAAACAAAGATGGCCCAAAACAAGATTCTCTATTCTGCAAAGCTCGACGAGAACATGCGAAGATCAGCCTACTTCGAGACAAACAAGAGAACCGTCAAAAGCGAATCAAAAGTTCTTTGCTATGAAGCAAGGAACAACAGAAAATTTGATGCATTTCAATTCTTGAGACAGGCTGAAGTCCTGCAAGATCTATATGGCGTGGCCTGGTTCCAAAATTTGGCAGTCAAGACGAAAGCGATTGCTGCTATTGCTAGCACCAATACTGCTGCTCAAAACAAATTCAAGGATGATATCTTTGAAGCCGTTCTGCAACTGCGATTGAACGAGAACAGCTCCTCTGATGCTGGATCTTCAGACGAACTATTGCAGAGAATTGGATTATTATCTAAAGACGGTCAGCAAAGCACAAGATATGTTGAAGATTCACATGGATGTGATTAAAAATCCTAGAGTGAACCTCTACCAAGGAAAAGACCAACCTAATAAAGGTAAAGGTAAAGGTAAAGGTAAAGGTAAAGGTAAAGGAAAAGGAAAAGCAAAAGGAAAAGGAAAAGGAAAAGGAAAAGGAAAAGGAAAAGGAAAAGGAAAGAGGAAAGAGGAAAGAGGAAAGAGGAAAGAGGAAACCGAAGGATGGAAAGAAGGCAGCATGTTATGTGTGTGGCAACGAAGACTATATGTCTCCAAAATGCCCAGACAGACTGTTACCAAAGATGGATTGGAAGAATCAGGATCAATATGTCAAGTATAGGAAGAAGCTCAATCTTAATCAGACTGCAGCAACTGTCCCAGCTACTGTTCCAGCTGTAGTTCCTGGAGCTTCAGCATCACAAGTGGAGCATCAAGTGTTGCGGGAAGCGTTAACACACCTTTGCAACTTGCTGGTACTACAGGTAATCAAATGATGCAAGTTCCTTCTGGAATGCAGATCATGCAGATTCCAACTCAAGGTGGCGGCACTGTTACTGTCCCTTATTCTATGAATGCTAACGGTGAGATTGCGTTCAGTTTGAATGCAACTCAGCCGACAAGGCTTCAGTGGTGCTCAATTGCGCCAAGGGTTTGATGCAACTCAAGCTCAAACTCCACAGGTCCTGAAGACTGGCTATTACAATACGTCAAATGTCTTGAACAATGCTATCAAGGGAAAGGATGAGAATGACAATAATGTCTATCTTATTCCATGTCCTGCTGGTACGACAAATGTCAAACTTCAAACCGACTGGCACTATGCTAGTGAAGATGAAGATGTGCCTGATCTTGCTACTGAAGCAGATCGAGGTCTGCAGTTTATTCAAAGCCGCAGAAAGCAAAGAGATCCATTTGGGCTGTACAGTCATGTCATCATGGACAGTGGTTGCACAAACACCACCATCATGGACTCTGTCATGCTGAGAAGGAACTTGACATGCACACTAACGTGGGCAGCAGAGTTCTTGGAATTGCCTTGCTATGCGCGAGATGATTGCTGCGGGATACCGCAATACTATGGATACTGATGCTGACAATGCTTTTATTGTGCATTGTGAAGCGTAAGGGTGTGTATGTGTTGGAGCAACTTTGAGCGAATGTCAAACCAGGTGCCAAAGAGACAAGTGCGATGTACCGTTGCCAGTTAAGCAACTTAAATAATCAACCCCATTTCGAACTTTCTTCAAACAAACAGAATGGATATGCTGGGCTGCTGCCAAAGGTGTTACTTCCATGAAGTTCTTTGATAAGAAGAGAGATTTGGAGACATTTCAAGATGGCGATCAAATCGCAGGAGTGGATGACAAGGAACAAGGTTACTTAGAGGAAGCCTTTGATCAGGACTATGAACCTGAAGATGAAGATGAACGTGATTTCAACCTACATGGACAATTTGATGATATCGATGACTCCAAAAGAGAAGAGCTCTTGGCAGATGCAGACAATGATGTCAATGATATGCCAGAACTCACTGTCAGATTCCAAGGAGATGATGACTATGAATCAGACGACGATTCAGGTGATGAAGGCAATGAAGAGGAAGAATCTATTGTGGCCGATTTGGATCACCATCAAGAAAATGTTGATAGAGGAACCGATGATATTGGGAGCCTCGTTACTGATCTGGAGGACCTACAAGAGCCGCCAGAAGAAGAGATTGTATTTGAGCCTGAAGAGCCTCAAGTAGCAAAAGTCACTTGATCTGGGCAAACGTATGCGCGAGCTACAATGTCTGGGCTGAACCTTTCTCAAGTTCCAAAGAGACCAAGAGAATGGCCTTTGAGCAGGAGTGGCAGTTCTGCCAATAAGAACAAGAATCAAGTTGCGACAAGACGCAAGCATCGAGAAAGAGAATTGAAACTGTTGAAGAGCAAGTTACAATCTGGTATTCATACCAAAGAAGGAAGTCGCAGTACTAAAGACAGTAAGCTATCCTTGAAGCACAGCACAATCTATGTTTCCAACAGATTGGGAATGAGATGAAAGCTGATTATGAAGAGCATGGCGCTATTCTGATCGCTCGTTGCATGATGCAGATCAAGGCCAAGTTTGATACTGATGAAGTTCTGAACTTCATCCAACAGTGTGACATCAATCAAGGACTGAAGAAGTTTGGTGATGATGGAAAGGATGCTGTGGATGAGGAATTGAGACAAATTCTCCTAAGAGATTGTTTCACTCCCGAATTTGTTAAGGACATGACCGCGTCTGAGCGAAAGAAGGCCCAATCAGCGATGATGTTACTCGCGGAGAAGCAATTCGAAAAGACAATTAAAGGTCGCCTAGTATACCGAGGCGATGGAACTCGTGAATGGTTATCGCAAGAGGACACTGCAAGTCCAACTGCTTTGCAGGAAGCAATCATCACTACTTGTGTTATTGATGCACATGAAGGTAGAGATGTAATGATGCTGGACGTGCCTATCTACACAAGAATCACTGGCATGATGGTTCAGATATTGATTGACATGGCCCCAGAGTATTGCAAATACGTTGTATTAGAGAACGGAAAGCGAGTAATCTATGTGCGGGTACTACGTGCTATACATGGGATGTTGCAATCGAGCCTCCTATTCTATAATCAGTTTCGAAGTGATTTGGAGGCAAAGGGATTTGTTTTCAATCCGTATGACCCGTGTGTTGCTAACAAAGTTGTTGATGAAAAACAGCAAACTATCAGATTTCATGTTGATGATCTTATGTCAAGTCACATGGATCCAAAAGTAAATGACAAATTTGCTAAGTGGTTGAACATGAGATATGGTTCAATCAAGGCATGTACAATCGTCAGAGGAAAGATACACAGATATCTTGGAATGACTTTGGATTTCTCGGTGAAAAAAAACTCAAAATCCGCATGGACGACTATGTCAAGAACATGTTGGAAGATTTTCCTATCAAGTTCAACGAGGATTCAAAGCAGGAAACACCAGCTGGTAACGATTTACTGCAAGCTGGTAAAGGGAACCTACTCAGTGCTGAGTACCGTCAGGTCTTCCATACTACTGTTGCAAGGGGACTTGATGTCTCTGAGAGAGCTTGTTTTGATATCCATCCAACGATTACTATTCTTGCCTCAAGAGTTTGAGAGCCTACAGAGTCTGATTGGAAGAAGTGTGTTTGCATGTTGCGATATTTGTTTTGTACATCGTTGTATCACCTGACACTTTCCGCAGAATCACTACGAGTCATGAAATGGATGATCGACGCATCATTTGCGGTGCATCCAGATTTCAAGAGCCACACTGGCGGCACTCTGTCCTTTGGAGGAGGTGCAGCTCAAGTGATGTAAAAGAAGCAAAAGCTAAACAGCAGAAGCAGTATGGAAGCGGAACTGATTGCTGTTGACAATGTTGTCACAATGATACTATGGACAAAGTTGTTCATGGAGTGGCAAGGGTATCCGATCGAGAAGAATATCTTGTATCAGGATAACAAAAGTGCGATTCTACTGGAAGAGAATGGTCGCAAGAGTGCGGGCAAAAGAAGCCGAGCTATAGATATTTGTTATTTCTTTATCACAGATCAAGTTGAGAAAGGAAATGTTAAGATCAAATACTGTCCAACTGACGATATGATTGCGGATTTCATGACTATGCCATTGCAAGGTGAGAAGTTTCGCAAGTTCAGGGATCTGATTCTTGGTCCACAGGAATAGGTCAGACAAGTATGCATATTTTCAGAAGAAAATACAAAAAAAAATATACAGTGAATGAGAGCATGTCCCATTGCTGCCAATGGTGATTGTCACAATGGCAGGAGTGTGTTGGGATATGACAAAATATGAGTTTTTACGTTCCAAAAAGATAGTACTGCGACTTCCTTCTTTGGTATGAATACCAGATTGTAACTTGCTCTTCAACGGTTTCAATTCTCTTTCTCCATGCTTGCGTCTTGTCACAACTCGATTCTTGTTCTTATTGGCAGAACTGCCACTCCTGCTCAAAGGCCATTCTCTTGGTCTCTTTGGAACTTGGGAAAGGTTCAGCCCAGACATTGTAGCTTGCCACACACATAACATGCTGCCTTCTTTCCATCCTTCAGTTTCCCCTTTCCTTTTCCTTTTCCTTTACCTTTACCTTTATTAGGTTGGTCTTTTCCTTGGTAGAGGTTCACTCTAGGATTTTTAATCACATCCATGTGAATCTTCAACATATCTTGTGCTTTGCTGACCGTCTTTGGATAATCCAATTCTCTGCAATAGTTTGTCTGAAGATCCAGCATCAGAGGAGCTGTTCTCGTTTGATCGCAGTCACATAGAAATCCTGTTGCAAGAACGGCTTCAAAGATATCATCCTTGAATTTGTTTTGAGCAGCAGTATCAGTGCTAGCAATAGCAGCATACTCTTTGTCTTGACTGCAAAATTAGGGTTAGGGTTAGAACTTTTGATTCGCTTTGCAGAAATCCAAGATGTCATACTCAGCATCAGCACTCTTCTTCATGAATTGTTCAATACGTTTCAAGAGTTCGATTGGATCTTCAAGAGTAGTCGTGAAATCGGCTTCACCTCAAAGATTGATATCCATTGCCTTTGTCACAAACTTCAGCATGATGTTTGATTTGACGGTTCTCTTGTTTGTCTTGAAGTAAGCTGATCTTCGCATGTTCTCGTTGAGCTTTGCAGAATAGAGAATCTTGTTTTGGGCCATCTCTGTTTCTCTTGCAACAGCTTCAGTTTGAGTTGGAGCGTTCAATCTTGGAGCAATCACATTGAAGTTGATTGACTTCCCATTCCAAATAGATTTCACCATGTCTTCCAAGCACTTCAATCCGGAAGCTTGGATACGTGTGACTCCTCATAAAGTCAAGAGCAATTCAAGTTCAACAGTTGTGAAACATCCATTTTCAACAAAAGATGAAAATGATGGAAAGGCAAGATGCCACAGAGACAAAAGTGAGTTGAACAATTTTCCCTTGGAAAATCCCTTGTTTACAGAACTCAATTTGACTTCTATGATGATTCTGTGTTGAATGCAGTACTTTGAGACATCTTGTATTATTCCCTACTGCATCGTACACAACATCAATATCCCCCTTGCATACGGTCATCCCCTTTTTGTGTGGATATAGATTGTCCGACAGACTTGCGTCCAGCAAACTTGCGTTGAATTTTTTAAGATTCCTACATCGCGGGACAAAATAAAATGAAAAGGGGGAATTCCCACTGCGTCATTGGAGAACGTCATCCCCCTGACATTTTCTGAGTACATCTGAGTTATAACTCACATGTTTAAGTTATAACTTAACGCCATGAGTGATAACTCAGGATTCCGTTGTGATTTGAGTTATAACTCAGAAAAAGTCACAACGACCAATTGGTCATCCGTGCCCATAAGTCCCTCTTTGATAAATCATCACATAATTAATATGTCATTAATACTTAAAGTGAGAAATAACATAGATTTTCCAAAGCTAAAAATATAATTTTATATCTCCGAGCATGTCAAAATTTGTGATCAGTGTCCCAAAAATACTCGGTCTGAACATTTGCCGGGTGTTCCTGTGGCTGAGGGAAAAATACTTCCCTCACCTGCGGGTGCTGAGGGAAAGTGAGGGAAAGTAAGGGAAAGTAATAGAATCCTCATGGGGAGAGAAGGTCATTTGGATAGATCCTTAGCCAATCAAATAACCAAAAAAGTTTTTGGAAAATTCAAATGTTAAGTATCATTTACTTGATGCGGCCCGCAAGGACATAAAACGAGTCGTCCAAATGACTCAAATAGTCTGTCCGTTACTCAAAACAATGGAAAATCCTTGATCTGCCGGGTGTTCCTGCATATGGGTTCAAATCCCCATATTGTACCCAAAAGCTGCAAATTTGCATTGTGGCTAATCAAATGAAGGCTATCTTGCTATTGCACACGCATGCAATTGTTTTGTGTCCGCAATTGAACGGGGTCGGCCTTCACAGAAGCCTGCCAATGAAACGATGGCAACACTCTTTCAAGAATACGATTTGATCTACATTACTATCAACACTCTTGTAATAATATATTGATTATATTTATGGTTTATCAGATACAGCAATATTAATAACTGTTAAAAGTTAATGTATTGAAATGTATCAAAATGTATGGAAATGTATTGAAATGTATTGAAATGCAATGAAATGCAATGAGACAGTGGGAATTCCCCCTTTTCATTTTAATTCATCCCTGCGATATTTAACGCGATTTCCTGCAACTAGTTGTGGGAACAGATTTTTTCCAAAAATGCCCACAAATAGTTGTAGGAATCTTAAAAAATAGTTGTGGGAAATTCCTACAACTAGTTGCGTTGCTTAGCTGTACAAAAACAATTAGAGTTTCATATGTAGTTGTATAATTTTTAGTCAGTACATGTCGTTGTTTTGTGCGTAGAACGGACAGTTTTTCAGAGAATGGATAGTTTTCCCATAATTCCAAAAAAAAAATTAGAGTTGTGGGAAACTTCCCACAACTACAATTAGAGATGTGGGAAACTTCAAACAATGGCAGGAGTGTGTTGGGATATGACATAAAATATGAGTTTTACATTCCAAAAAGAAACTATGCAAGTACAAAGGTTTTGACACGTACGATCGGACTTTGATCGTGATGTCCGAATTTGACGCAAGTATGCCAGACGCAAGTCTGTTGGACAATCTACATCCACAGAAAAAGGGAATGACCCTATACAAGTGAGATATCGGTGTTGTGTACAATGCAGTAGGGAATAAGACAAGATGTCTCAAAGTACTGCATTCAACACAGAATTGTCGTAGAGGTCAAATCAAGTTCTGTAAACAAGGGATTTTCCAAGGGAAAATCGTTGAACTCACTTTTGTGATTGAATCATCAATTCAAGCCAAATATTAATCAAATAGGAACAATTTCACTCAAAGTATACCTAGACACAGGAGAACTATTGCCGTGAAAGTGTTGTACAGTCAATTACGAATGTAGATTGCAGAGAGTTTGTTCTGAGCGCTAAAGCCACTCATGATAGAGCACATTTTGCTTTATTCTAACATTCAATCACAAAAGGCAACAAAACGAAAATACGTCAAGAACAGCACTGCCTTATCTACAAAGGAGTGAGTGATTGGTTGACGATCGGACGTTCTTCATCCGGTGCTGGAAGAGGACGTGTGACTCCTCAGAAAGTCAAGAGCAATTCAAGTTCAACAGTTGTGAAACATCTTTTTTCAACAAAAGATGAAAACGATGGAAAGGCAAGATCGTCGTACGAAGACGCCGAAGAAAGAGTGATTGACTGCATCCAAGCTTCTGGAATGAAGACATGGCGAAATCAATTCGAGATGGAAAGTCGATCAACTTCAATGTGATTGCTCCAAGATTGAACGCTCCAACTCAAACTGAAGCTGTTGCAAGAGAAACAAAGATGGCCCAAAACAAGATTCTCTATTCTGCAAAGCTCGACGAGAACATGCGAAGATCAGCCTACTTCGAGACAAACAAGAGAACCGTCAAAAGCGAATCAAAAGTTCTTTGCTATGAAGCAAGGAACAACAGAAAATTTGATGCATTTCAATTCTTGAGACAGGCTGAAGTCCTGCAAGATCTATATGGCGTGGCCTGGTTCCAAAATTTGGCAGTCAAGACGAAAGCGATTGCTGCTATTGCTAGCACCAATACTGCTGCTCAAAACAAATTCAAGGATGATATCTTTGAAGCCGTTCTGCAACTGCGATTGAACGAGAACAGCTCCTCTGATGCTGGATCTTCAGACGAACTATTGCAGAGAATTGGATGAATTGGATTATTATCCAAAGACGGTCAGCAAAGCACAAGATATGTTGAAGATTCACATGGATGTGATTAAAAATCCTAGAGTGAACCTCTACCAAGGAAAAGACCAACCTAATAAAGGTATAGGTAAAGGTAAAGGTAAAGGAAAAGGAAAAGGAAAAGGAAAAGGAAAAGGAAAGAGGAAAGAGGAAAGAGGAAAGAGGAAAGAGGAAACCGAAGGATGGAAAGAAGGCAGCATGTTATGTGTGTGGCAACGAAGACTATATGTCTCCAAAATGCCCAGACAGACTGTTACCAAAGATGGATTGGAAGAATCAGGATCAATATGTCAAGTATAGGAAGAAGCTCAATCTTAATCAGACTGCAGCAACTGTCCCAGCTACTGTTCCAGCTGTAGTTCCTGGAGCTTCAGCATCACAAGTGGAGCATCAAGTGTTGCGGGAAGCGTTAACACACCTTTGCAACTTGCTGGTACTACAGGTAATCAAATGATGCAAGTTCCTTCTGGAATGCAGATCATGCAGATTCCAACTCAAGGTGGCGGCACTGTTACTGTCCCTTATTCTATGAATGCTAACGGTGAGATTGCGTTCAGTGGAATGCAACTCAGCCAATAAGGCTTCAGTGGTGCTCAAGTGCGCCAAGGGTTTGATGCAACTCAAGCTCGAACTCCACAGGTCCTGAAGACTGGCTATTATGATACGTCAAATGTCTTGAACGATGCTATCAAGGGAAAGGATGAGAATGACAATGATGTCTATCTTATTCCATGTCCTGCTGGTACGACAGATGTCAAACTTCAAGCCAACTGGCACTATGCTAGTGAAGATGAAGATGTGCCTGATCTTGCTACTGAAGCAGATTGAGGTCTGCAGTTTATTCAAAGCCGCAGAAAGCAAAGAGATCCATTTGGGCTGTACAATCATTTCATCATGGACAGTGGTTGCACAAACACCACCATCATGGACTCTGTCATGCTGAGAAGGAACTTGACATGCACACTAACGTGGGCAGCAGAGTTCTTGACAACGAAGGTTTTCTAGGAAGATTTCCACCTCCAGTTTATCACAATGAAGATGGAATTGCCAATGTACTTGCTATGCGCGAGATGATTGCTGCGGGATACCGCAATACTATGGATACTGATGCTGACAATGCTTTTATTGTGCATTGTGAAGCGTAAGGGTGTGTATGTGTTGGAGAAACTTTGAGCGAATGTCAAACCAGGTGCCAAAGAGACAAGTGCGATGTACCGTTGCCAGTTAAGCAACTTAAATAATCAACCCCATTTCGAACTTTCTTCAAACAAACAGAATGGATATGCTGGGCTGCTGCCAAAGGTGTTACTTCCATGAAGTTCTTTGATAAGAAGAGAGATTTGGAGACATTTCAAGATGGCGATCAAATCGCAGGAGTGGATGACAAGGAACAAGGTTACTTAGAGG